GCCCTCACTGCCTCACTGCCTCAGCCACCCACCCTTTCACTTCCGGCTGTCCCCCATCCAAACATCACACAGTGGGCAAACGGCAAGCATGCCGGTAGCATAGGGGAAGACGACAACCGGGGTGTGAAGACCAGCATGGCGCGAGTGCAAGCACGAGGAGGACAAGCACGATGCGATGATGACGATGGCACAGGGGTGACGATGGCACAAGGACAAGGACAGCATGGGGGTGGTGACGTCAGGGATGGCACGAGGGTGGAGAATGATGGGGACAGCACGATGATGGGGACAGCACGACGACGACAAGGACACGAGGACGGCAATGGCGTGAGCGCAAGCAGCTTCACCACCACACGACCCCAAGAAAGACCAGCATGAGGTGGGGGCGGGCGCAACCAGCACAAGGCGAGGGTGAGCAAGCCAGGTCCTCCAAGCAGAAATGACATGCCATGAACACATCGTTTCTGCTCCATTTGTCTATACCTTGCAGTAGGTGGCTGTAAAGCCACCTATGTCATGTAATAATTTTATTTCAATTTAATATAATTTTTGTCATTTTTCCGAGTGTGTCCGAGCTTGCCGGATGTCGTTGTTCTAAAATTAGAATGACATCCAAACCACCACCCGCCCATCCACCCATCCCGCCCTCCCCTGAGGCGGGCAAACACCTGAAATGGGTAAGAAGGCATCCCGACATTATAATTCCAAAATATGGTGCTGCCCGCTGTCCGCAACGATGAGCTAGACCCCAATTACATCGCTGGGCATCTCGGAGAGGCATTCTCCTGTGTTGTACCCAATATGGAAGCTGTCCCACGCCCTGTCCCACCCCCAATGACGACGAGCACCCTATGCAACATCCCCGAGCATTGTTTGGCCATTGTTTAGTGTCCCCACAGCCTCGGCAGACAGTCCCGAGACCCGGCAAACCCAGCAGGACATAGAAAAAGGCCTGGCTGCCTACTGGCAGCTATGATTTATGACTGAGAATTGCCAGTAGCCTACTTTCATGTATAATTCTAGCCTACATGGCTGCACCCTCGCCCTTTCACCCTCTCATGGTCCCCCTCTCCCTTGCCCTCTCACTGTCGCCCTCTTGCCTGCCCTCTTGCCTGCCCTCTTGCCTGCCCTCTTGCCTTTTCACCCACCTCTCCCTCTTGCCTGCCTCACCCCCGCCGTCTCACCACTATGACGACGACAACAGGCACAGAACAACAACAATGACGGCTGGCAGCACAACAACAACAGCTGGCAGCACAACGATGATGGGGAGGGCAGCACAACAACAGCAGTGGAGGCACTCTGCCTTGCCCTGTCGCCCTTTGCTGCGCCTTCTCGCCCCTTGTCAACCCCTTGGCCGCCCATCGCTCGCCCCTCACCCCTCGTTCGCCCTCACCCTCTGCCTCACCCTCACCCTCTGCCCTGCCCCTTGCCCTCTGCCCCCTCCATCACCCTCTCGCCCGCTGTCACCCTCTCGCCCGCCTCTTGCTGTCACCTCACCCCCTCGCTGTCCATCCATTGAGGCAAACATCACTGAGGGGAATAACAATGAGTGGCCGAGGGGTTCAACATGCCCCCGATGAGGCCCAGCGAGCCATGGAGGGAAAACGAGTGACAAAGGGATTAACGAGGAGGCGAGCAGGCCCAACGAGCAGAGGAGGGGGCCAAACGAGGAGATGAGGGACCGAACAAGCAGCGGAGGCTGCCTGCAAGCAGAGGAGGGGACGAACGACGAGCTGGGCGGCCCCCACAAACAGCGAAGGGCCCCAACGACGACTCGATGGACACCCACGAGCAGCTGAGGGGACCAACAGCCCCACCTGACAGCCCCACACGAGCAGCGAAGGGATGAACGACGAGGCAAGGCCCCCCAACGAGCAGCAGAGGGTGTGTATGGGCAGAACAAGCAGGTCCCCCTGAGCAGAAATGGCGTGTTCATAGCGCGCCGTTTCTGCTCATTTTCTCTTTATTTTACAGCAGGTGGCTAGTAGAGCCACCTGCACCATGTATATATTTTACTTCAATTTAATATGATTTTTTTCGTAAAATTTTTCGTGTGTTGAGATGCCCCTGAGCTCGCCGGACATCATAACAGACAACGGTGAGAGCAATATAATAGATGTGTCATGGTAATTACAGCATAATCTAAAAATAGCTACAAGACCCGAAAAAGGGCTGCATCATCCAAACTACCCCCTCCCAATCCAGCTATCCTGCCCCCCCAACAGCGGGGGAAATGGTGCAGAACAGTAAAGAAATATCCTTCCTCATTGTTGGCATCTTTTCCCCATCGAAAACGGGGGCAGGAGCACCCCAAACGACGAGGAACAGTGTCCAAGCACTGTTTCCTGTGTTGTTTGCATGTATTGACATGCCCCACCCACAGCCGCGAGCCCCGGCACACCCAGCAAGGCCCTCTCCGTAGGTGGACTGTAAAACCACAGTCCTGACATATAAGCATACATTGTAAAAATACAGTATCTGATGTATTCTCATGGCTTATAGAAGTGGCAGCGAAATTGTGGAAGTGGTTTGCTCAATACTCAATTGTGACTGTTCTGTGGAAGGTCCTGCAGTGCCGTCATGAGGCCGGCACCTGCGTAGCGTGTGCGAGATGCGGATACTCACATACTCGCAGCTGCTTGAGTTGTATTGCAGCCTGATGGGCTGGGGGGAGTCTACAACTGTCCTGACTCTCAATACGGGACGTATGCAACAGTTTCCCGTGACAGCGTATGGGAATATCAGATGGCAGGCACGCCTCCTCTACATGAAACAATGCCAGCAATAGTGGTGTACGCACTTCTATAAGCTAGGTACATATATCAAACCCTGTGTTTAGCCAGTGTGACCTCACATGTCCAGACTGTGTTTGAGCAGTCAGGTTTTCCAAGGCTGCTGGGGTGAGTTTGCCGGGGATGCCAGGGCCATAGAGATTTGTTTGGGGATGGGAGAGGGTAAATAAATGACCAAACAACCCTCCCGGGGGTGGGGCAGGGGTAGGGTAGGCCTGTGGGGGGCGGGAGGGTGGGAAAGGCATGGGAAATCCGTCTGAAACAGGCAGGGATGGTGGGGGATGCATGATAGGGGCTAGTGGGATGGCGGGGTGGGTTCTGGGTGCAGTGGGGGCCTAAAAATGGGTTGGGCGGGGCTAGATATGCATGCTAATAATTGTCATGGCCCCCACGGGGTGTGGGATGGGCTGGGGGAGCCAAAAACGCGAAAAATCCAGAGTCTTTTGCATTTTTAATACAAAACAATTGAATATCAAATTGAAAACTTAATATTTTGTCATGAAACTTTGGGGACCTTTGTATCTATAGTGGGGGGGTGCTTCACGAATATTTTGAGTATTTATTATGAATTATGGGGTGCGCCACACAGCCAGGAATAGTGTGTGCGGCGGGGTTTGATGCGCTTTGCCAAATTTGGCAATATTGTGATGGGTGCACATCCGTGCATAATTCCGGCTCCCCCTCGCATTATTTCGTTTAGCTTTGGCTGAGCGAGATGTTGGGTACATTGATACCTTCCTGTAGACCCTTTGATCATGTGAAACGGGTGAGAACTCATTGAGATATGACGAACACGATTTTGGCTACTATAATGCATGGTGCACCCATGCATCCTCGGGCACATTTAGGGCCATTTCACTTGGCCAAAAATCATGGATTACATGTCTGAGAGTAATAGTACCATTGATAATGCCAGGGGGTGTCTGGGTGTAGTAGATCTGAGGGGGGGTATAGGTACACCAGGAGACCCACTCTGGATACCCCACTAAACGTACCTCTGAAAGTCTGAAAGTTTGTACATGAATAGTGTATATTTATTCATGAATTTAACATATTTTATCATAAATTTATATTGCCTGGAAGTTGGGTTATTGACCGATTTCACACAAGCTAAGATATTCCATTGACATCCAGGATGGGAGATATTGGCCCATGTAAAATCATGATAAATGACAATAAATGTATAGAAACAGAACGAGATACTTGCGAGGGCCAGGGAATGATTTTGTGTAAAGTTATTAAGGGAAGAAGGAGGAGGTAATCCCCCACATCAGTATCTATGTAAATACTTACCAAATCTGCATATCGCACCCATTAAACGGTGCTTTTGGGTTAGGATAATGTCTGTAAGGATATTTTGGTAGTGACGGATGAGGCTCCAATGCCCAGGGGACATGGTATTAGAGAGTGAGCTGAAAATGCGCGAAAAATATGAAAATAATTAAAATGGGTACCTCGGACTTGTTCAAAAATTACCAAACTTCATATATGAGGACCTATTAACATTCTTAAGAGACTGCACAAGACCGGATGAGATTCCGAGCAGTAGATGCAAAGATATGCACAATGAATTCCAAAAGCACCACTTGCATCACAAAGTTGTTACAGGATGTTGATGCTCTTACTGTCCTTGTGATACCCTTTTGCATATCTTTGCATCTACTGCTCGGAATCTCATCCGGTCTTGTGCAGTCTCTTAAGAATGTTAATAGGTCCTCATATATGAAGTTTGGTAATTTTTGAACAAGTCCGAGGTACCCATTTTAATTATTTTCATATTTTTCGCGCATTTTCAGCTCACTCTCCAATACCATGTCCCCTGGGCATTGGAGCCTCATCCGTCACTACCAAAATATCCTTACAGACATTATCCTAACCCAAAAGCACCGTTTAATGGGTGCGATACACATGAAACTCACTGGGCTTTGCTTAATCCGATGGCTTTTACAAAGGTAGCTGGATTAAGTGTGTTTTAATCCGATTAATCCAGCTGAACACCTCTCGACTATAATGATCTATGTATGCTACGCAACGAATTAAATGGATTAAATGGATTAAATGGATTAAATGGATTAAATGAATTAAACGGATTAAACAGTCATTTCGCATCGCCAGAAAGTGCTGAACTGGGAGCACGGTCTCCTGCCCGAGATGTATTACCGCTTAAAATGTGAGATATACCCATCTCCGAGAATTCACACTCACGGTCGCACTGGACGAGGGATGCCAGGGAGATGCCCTTGTCCATAGCACTAAGACAATCTTGATAACCAGCTTTCACAAATTGTTGCCAAGCCCTATGCTCTAGCCTTGCAAATCTGGCAGCCGTTTTCTTTGCGTAAGCAACTCGGCCTGGGCTACCTGTGTTCTTCACTGCTAGTTCACCCCAAGTACGTGATAGACCAGCAAAGGATCGTATGCATCGCATGAACTGTGCTTGCTTGATTTCATGTTCTTCAAGCCAGCGCTGCATTTCTGCCTCAGCACGGAAAAACTGGACACGGTCAGCTGCTGGGAGTTTAGCCACTTGACAGGATAGAATTACCTTGAGACGTACCTTCTTCTGACCATTCTTGTAGATCTTCCATTGACAGCTTGCCGATGGATCCAAGTTGCCAAATCCAGCCAATGTGTGTATGCTTTTCGTTCGCGTTACTAGAATCTAAATACCGGACCAAGTCCCAACAGCATTAGGACACCGCAATCATGGATTCAATGTTGCCATACCTCTCACATCAGAGGCAGAAGTTGTAACCTCAGTTATTCCAATCCGTCGCTTTGTTCCCTTCTTATCCTTGATGGCTTTCACATCACTTCCTGAATTGATTGTCAGCATACACAGAATAAATACACAACGTCCATAACTTACTTGCTTTGGCCTTTGTGCCTTTCGTCGAGACGTCGGCTGCCGTGGCTGCCATAGGGGACATTGTGCCTACAGCGGAATGCAAGGAGGTGAGTTGCTTCACTTGAGCACCTCCAGTTATCCCTGTGTTCCAAATTTGTCCTTCCATTTGTCGAGAGTCGCCAATACCACGACACTTGTGGGTACTCTTCCAGATAGTATCCTTCTCAGTAAGAAGTGGGAAGAGAGACTCGTATGAGCGGCTGCCCAGAAGGATCATTCTGCTGCAGCAGGCATTGTACTCCTCGATTTGCAAATTTCTTTGTAAAATGGCATCGTCAATCTTGCCAATTGCACGTGTAACACTGGTGTGGCCACGTGCGTTCTGGACACGATCATCCTGTAGACTGACAATCAACTTAACAATCATTTGAGTGGTACGGATGGCGTCAAACGCACGCCCCTTGCGGAGTTTCATCTCACATGAGGCAAACTCTTGCAGCTTATGGGTTGTGCGTTGCTCCTCAGTGAGCACGGATGGTAGACAGAGAGTTTCACATTCTGGTCTATCCTCTGCAGCCGGTTTTGCCGATTGAGCCAATGTGGTCGAGGTCAGAGTTGGGTCGCGAATATTGGGTATAGTGGCAGAAGTTGTCGATTGACTCCTCAAGTCTTCATAGAGGGTGTCATATGAGATGCAGGTTGTTTCTTGATAAAAAACCTTCCACTTGTTGATCTGTGGGCGTAACTTCCTTCGCTGTAGATCAATCTCTTTCAGAATCAAGTCCGTCGGTGTTTTGAGTGAGATTTGAACCTTAGCATGAAGTGTCCTCCTGAGTGTGATACGCCCATGAGAATTGCACATCGACATTCAAGTCACATTAATCACACACTGAAGTCGCTCAATTTCTAAGCCCTCGTTGATGCACCTGACCAGCCGGCATCCAGGTGAGTTGGCCGTCCCATTTGAATCCTTTGATTTTTCAATATTGATGAGCACGTCATATATCTTCACGTGAGATGGTACTATATCCTTGAAATTAGTAGCATGAACTTAAGCAAGAGATCGTCGGTCTGACCTTTGGTCTGGTTGTGCTGATAGACACATTCCACCTCCTTGTTCTTGTTTAGCGTTCGCTTTGTCCGATCCTCCTTGTTCCATAATGGAACACGGTCCGCATGAAGGAGAGTCAAACCAACGAAGTGGTTGCGTTTCTGTGCGTACAACTTGTGCGTGTTAATAATATCAATGTATAATGCTGACGCTGCACAATTGTCAGAGGCCGTGAAAGTTAAGAAAGAGGTGTTAGACGTACACATTGGCAAGCTTCTTGAAATTCCAGTCGCTATGATGGTCAATTATGGCGTCTTGACAGTGGCCATTGTTCATCTGGCGTATCTGAGCCGCCAATTGATTTAGCTCCACCCATTCATGTTCTGCTGTCTCTCCATGAAAGTGTCCGGTGTTGTAGATGTACGAAGCTGCGTATTTGTAAGTGCAGTTCTCTTTGTGGTTGTGGACATGAACAAGCGGTATGAGAAAGTGAAACTGTTTCACGGCTGGGACGAGATCAGGGAAATTCTTCTCAAAGCGGTCGACAATATTCACGAGGTAGGTGCACGAAATGTCGTAAGAAAAGAGGAAATTGCAACCCTTCAGCACATTTTCAGCATCTTGGGCATTATGCAATTTTTTTGTCTGATGAAGAGCCGTCGCGAGCGCGTAATCAGTGTTGGCAAAACTAGAGTCGACCAATAAGGAATTAACATTTAATTTACTTAAATAGCTAACGTACCGTTCACCTCATTGAAGGTCAACGCACGACTTCACACATCCGTGGGGGCATTGGATGTTTATAACACCTGTCTGCGACAAGATGCTGTTCTCTTCATCTTTCTTACTGGCAGCTTTGACTGTGAAGCATTCAATTTTCTGAATAGTCGCATGAGCAGTGTCCGTACTTATAGAATCGTCGATACTTACCTCATTGGGGTCCTTTTTGGGTATTGTCTTCAAATACGCCTGAAACTCCGCCTCTGAAGGATAATAGGCAAGGCCGTCAAAGAGCGAGTAATCATCAGGGCCGCTGTTCTTCGTGTAGCGGTTGGCATGAAAGTTCCCATTCGCAGTAAGCTGTGTCTGATGAAGGTGCCTACAACAATGATCAGTCACGAGGAGTACGTTCAATAGTTGTAGAAACTGACTTGAGCTCGTCAGGCATCTCTTGCCAGTTCTCCTCCATGTTCAGGCCTGGTTCTGGACACGATGGGCAGAAGACGATTAGATTTCCTTTCGGTTGATGTGGCAGACATTCATCGATGCCGTGTGCCTGGCCTAAGCGCTTCTGTGCGATGAGAACGCGCCAGAACCGCATCACCGATAAGAATTGTGGGTATGGATCCTGAAAATGGGAATTAGACTCAAGCGACTTTGTAAAATGAAAAGTATGAACAACTCACTGAAGTCTCACTTGCAAAGACATTATCTGTGAGTCGACGCAGACTTCCAATGAAGTCATATGCAGATTCTTTAGCTTCGAGGTGATGAATATGGAATTGATGGAGGACGTTCAAGGTGAAGGCCATTGTGGGCTGCTTCATTGTTGCTGGGAAGAGGCCGAATCGCATAAGCTATGCCACCTGGTCAGGGAGCCCTCTCCAGGTACAGAAGCGTATCCTTGTGTTATGAATGCCGTTATGGTCAATAATATGAAAGTAAACCCTGTCATCCTCCTGCTGCTGTCCAGGGCAAGGTAGGCCGCCATGCCCCAGTGGAATGGCATACCCTTTTGGCCGCAGGGTTGAAATGTCTCAGCAAACAAAGAACCCACCCTCTTCAAGCCAGACGTTAGCCCAGTGAGTTGGCATGGTGGCATGATTGTCTATGAAGCACTCTGAACATGTTGTGTTGTGCCCTAGGCATTCGTCACAAGAGACCAATCAAGACGCTCGGCCACACGAGCAAGGAGTTCCGATGAGCGGGTGTTGTTCATGCTCGAAGAGGTAATCAAGCAATGTTGCCTTTGCGTCGCAGAATTCTTGAAGCTTTTCAGACAGCTAAAGATCACATGAGAATGGATACGATGTGATACAATACAAAAATAACTCACAGCACTACATTTCTCTGATGATACATCTGGCGATGGCAGATTTTCGACTGGTGGGCTGGAATCAGAACTGACAGGGGAGAACACAGATTTTGATGGCCACGAGTTCGTGCCCAAGACTGTTGTTGTGGTGCTGACGGTTGTGGTAGTACAAGTGGTGTGACAGGTGACATGAGCTTGAGTGCCTCGCCGAATCCTTTTGCTTTGAGTAGGATCTTCAGACTGCGCCTCAGCGCATCGCTTGAGAAGTTCTTTCGCAGTCAACATGGGAGTAGGAGGCATGAAAATCGTACGGGTGGCATTATTGTATTATCTGAGCCACAGGACACAGTGGGCCACTTGGCCGACACTTGCTTGACTGGTAATTACAAAGCTGCCCTAACAGTATCTAGTCCTAGGAAAATAAGGTGGGCCCTACATTCCCAACATTAGTTTGAAGAATGAGCATGATAATCACCAAACATATGCAGCTTCATTGAACTCGGCCCCTGACTTGATCCATCCCTGCCTGCCACAATGTTTGTGGAATCCCTTCAGCCACTCATCCCATTCATGACGTCTGTGGGCACATGAGCAACACAATGTCATTGCTGCCCCGCTCATGCCCAAAATGCCAAGACTTCTACCAACGGATGTCCTCCAGTCACCAAACGGCTGCAGCCCTCATTTTGAAAGTGGTTGAGAGAAGCAGTGGATGTCCCTGAGGGCGCATTTCCTACATGGCGCCAACTAAGTCAGACGTTCATTTGAGGTGAGAAAAGCAAAGAAAGAAAATAAAATGTCAACCCGAAGTTTGGGTCCCTGCCCTAGAGACAGCATTTCCAAGGTCAGATATGCTGTATCAAGGACGAGACCCAGACGAGGGGAAACAATGGCCGAGAAGAAGCAAAATGCCAGCTGACACACTGCACGCCCGGTCCTAGGTGTGAGTCAACAGGCTTTCAGTGAGGCAGCTGGAAATTTGCTTCCAATTGGTCGCAATGGGCAGAGGGGAGCAATGTTGATGCACCAGCAGCAACACAAATGAAAATGAAGCACAGAAAGATCCAGACTCACCAGGGATCACTCACGTGCACAGATGCGGTCCTGTCTGCACCAAACGCGCCCGAAATGCACGTCCAGTTGCGAAGATGAACGCGCGATCGGGTTCCATCGTGGGTGATGAAGATTTAAGGCGCTCTTGAAGGCGCCCGACGAGGGTGGGGAGTTTCAATGCCCTTGTGACCGGCGGGGCCCACCGACAGTCATTTTGTCGTGACGGGGGTCATCGAGAGCGGGATCGTGCCCAAAAGAGGGCGGGCGGTGTTGCACGAGGGTCTGAGCATGGAGGGAGGGACTAGAGCAAGAACTCACAGGACAGGCATGGGCGGGGCTACTCGAGGGCAGGCAGATTGCCAAGAATGAGAAGTCTGGGATTACATCATTGAATCACATGCCTTGAGTTCACCTGCCCTTGAGTGCCTGCGTGTCCCTCTCAGAGTCATTGCCTCTGCTGTCACCCTTCTGTCCTCATGCCGTCTCACAACCCTCACAACCCTGCCCCCTTGCACGATCTCTCTTTGGACAACCCTGGTCGCACTACAAAACCGTGTCCGTCCTGGCCGTCGCAGGACAGTGCGATCCGGAACATCACATGGCCTCGCCGCACCTGCCCTTGAGTGGGCCCCACCCATGTCTGTCCCACGAGCTCCTGCTGTTTGCCTCCCCTCCGTGCTCGGGCCCTCGTGCAACACCGCCCGCCCCCTTTTGGGCACAATCCCACTCTCGACGACCCCCATCACGACAAAGTGACTGTCAGCAGGCCCCACCGGTCACAAGTGACGTCGAACTCCCCGCCTTCAAGAGAGCCGCCTCAAAACTCTGTCCACCGCCATGGAAGTCGATTGCACAAATCTGGGGTGTGTTTTGGTGTGTTTTGGGCGTGTTTCGTGCTGGTGGGCTTGCGTTAACGGTTCTGAGGAACACCCCAGTGAGTCTGGTCCTTAGTCTCTTTCGTTTCTACTTCTCATTGTTGGCCAGCGCTCAGCAACGATGCTGCTTGTCACAGCCGATTGGAAGCAACCTGCCAGCTGCCACTCTGTACGCCTGTTGACTAGCACCTGGGACCGGGCATGCAGTGCATCGGCCAGCATTTTGCGTCCCTTCAGCTGTCGTATCGCTCGTCTTGAGTCTCTGCCCTCGATATGGCATATCCGGCCTTGGAAATGCTGTCTCAAGGGTGGAGAATTCGATCTTCAGCTCAATGTGGTTCTTTCATTTTCATTTTCTCATCTCAAATGAATGTCTGATTTAGTCAGTGCCATGCAGGAAACAAACCGCCCTTGGGGATATTACATGGCGCCCTTGTCAGGACCTCCTGCGAGATGGCACTTCTGTTGTTGGAAATTCTGTCTCGTTGGCTGGGTGCTCGAACACGAGGCTCGACGTCTCCGCGTTTACGTTGCGCAACACTTCTTTGACATGATTATCCACTCATGTATTTTGCAGATAAATTCATCTTTGTCTCCAACGTTTCTCACACCCGCCAACCCTGATCTCTTATCCCAACTATGACTGTTGACGCCGTTGTAGATTGTTTATTTATTTTAGTAGACCTCGATGTACATAATGAAGTAGGTAAACCCCAATTGGCTGTGGCAAGCCAGTGCTCAGTTGTTGCTGTCGACCTTCGTGAGGTGCGTCGAAGTCAAAGAAACCCAACTACCCACCCGTATTGTCGTGCATGGGATGCATATCTGGGTGGGATGCTGCAGGAGGGGTGGGAGGGGACGGTGTTAGGTGTACGATGGCCAAGTCGGTATTTCGTGAGTGAAGAATGGACCAACTCAGAACTGGGTGAGGAGAGTGTGTACTGTGTTCGAGAGCGGTTCTGGTGGGGCAGGCAGTACAAGCTGCATAGGATATAGGAGGTCATGGTACGCCGAGTATGTATTTCAGAAGAATAAGGTGTTTCTTGCTCAATCACGAAACGAGAGATATCCGACTCGCCTCGACCTCAAACCTCTTGTGACTCTCAATTCACCTCCAATCCAGTTCGAGGATGTGGGCTTATGAATCTCCTTACAGTTCATCCTATTCCACAATCAACTCTGCATCCACACCATCCAAGAAATCCAGGACGAAACGTCAACGGCATACATTTATTACATTTATGAATAAAAAAGATTCTAGATGACTAACAAATGGACTTTTGCCTTCTCAATGTCTCGAAAGAGTTAAGCACCCATGACTTCACTTGCAATATCATGGGAGTGCTATATTCACATTTGTACAGCCTTTCATGTTCTTGACCAGTGTCTGGTTCTTTGAGTCAAATATGCTAGGATGCAAGAAAAAAACAATAAGATTGTGGCGAAGACTCGGAACTGAGAGAAGAATCGACTAAATGCCTATGACGAAGCTCCTAAGGGTTCCTGTGGCCCATCCTGCCACTTGGGCTTGTTTTGATGGGCCACAAATAGATTGCCAGGTCCTTATAAAATTAGGAGTTCTCCCAGCGTGTTTTTCCCGTCCCCTTCCCCGTCTGTCAGCATCATGCCAGTTCGTGTTCCTGCCCCAAGTTGTCCATGGCGTTTTGGACCAGTATCTGTTGTCGATCCCGAATTCAACCACCTCTCGAAGACTCGTGCTTTGAAGGAAGTCAAGAAGCGTCTTCGAACCCTGTTGCGCCCACTGGCCAAGGCTCGTCCTGCAAAGAGAGCCCCCCATGTGAAAAGACACAAGGAGACACAACCTAGTCTTTGTATAGGAGAATACATACGGGTAAATGCAGGCCATTGGTTCCAAGTTGTAAGTATACTGACCTTTCATCTGGAATTCTTCTTTACCAAGCCTTTTCAGTGCCTCACTTGTGATCCAGCCGCTGTTATTTTTATCACTGATCGCCTTCCCATGGATTCCCTCAATGGGGAGATTGGCAGGCTGCTCAACATCATGAACAAAATTGTTCACTACCAGGTTGACGAAGAGGAAGACATTCCCCAGCCAGATTCTGCATGCTCATCTGCAGCGACATGTGTGAAGAGGGTTCGTCGTGCCACTTCTGACCACAACATTACTTCTGTACCTCCAGCGCTTCAAGGCCATGGACAACATGATGGTGTACTGACTCCAGAGAGCATCAAACAAGGTGACCCATTTGACCTTATGCGTCCCCTCTTGGTCTCCATAGATCTCGAGGTAGGTTTGATGTGTATCCCCTGCTGCTTGAGACTAGTACTGATGGGTGAGAATCAGGATAATGTCATTGAGGAAACCCTTTTCCCTCGCCATGATTCTTGCGTTCGTCTCGCAGATTTCAAGCTCTTGTTGGGTTCTCGTGGTTTTGAGGAAGGACGAGCTATTGAATTTTATGATTTTAGGAAAGAGTACTGGGCTGGGTGCAGCTGGTTGATGCCTCATTTTGTTGGTGGCATAGGATATGTTTTGAAAGTTCGTTATGTGTCATAAGACATAATTGCACTGGTGTATTTTTAAAGTGCGGTATTAAATCAATATACATTGTTGAATATCAATGGAACGTACCAGTCGCGACGCACACTTAATTAATCGCCTCTACTGCCACACATCAGAGCGACACGGCGCATAGCCTTTCCACGCATTTCCCTTTCTCGGTATGTGGCCCACCTTGCCAGCGTCAAACTTTACACTCACATTTTGCAATTGTTTTCTATGCCTGTGGCCATCAGCGGCGCCATGCCTAAGCATATAGGGCCACAAAGTGGCTGGGGAAGATTTAACCCCTGTGTTGATTATAACGCACATTCCTCCCTTTCATCTGCTTCCTCCCCTCGACCTCATGCCATGCACAGCCACCGAGTATGACTTTAGTCTCGCCCAGACAGCGCGCATTCTGCATTTTCTCCCTGAGTTTCAAGAACTAGTCCTGAAGTTCGATCCCACATTCAAAGGGAATTGCAAACCGCTTAGCAAATGGAAGAAGGCCATCGTTGCCCAGCTGCTCTCAGAGGATGTCTTTCAAGACCTGGATACAGAGAAACACACTCTGAAAGAATGGGGCAATGTGTGTTGCTAATTTTTACAGATTTACAATTCTTCTCACTGACCATTGATGAATGCCAGGCCATCAAACGCGTCTATTCAAACCACTTTGGCTATCAGATGAAGGTCAAGGGAACCGGACTTGATGGGACGCCACCAACAGCTGTTGCACCAGCGAATGTTCAGCCTGCAAAGTCTAGCAACAAGATTCGCTCATTCCTTTTCTTCTCTGGTGACATCTCTCCTCATGAACTTTTTGTGGCCGAGAATCACAACGAACTTGAGGCAACCTACAAGAGAATTTGTCAAGACACTGGCCTCCCTGGTGGAGCTGCTCGCCAAACTGTGCTGAAAGAGCTTTGGGCTAAGGCCAATCACAAAGAGTGCGAAGAAAGAGCAAAAACTTATTTGAACGACACCCAATCGTGAGTGTGGCTTTTGTAGGCAATGCAAAATAAGCTTAACCCTACTCTTACAGGAATCAGGAAGAATTTAGCTGCTTAGCGCTCTCGTCTCTTGAGGCGATGCTCAGTCGAGGTGTGCTGGGGTCTTCCATGATCTCGATGATGTATGCCTATCGCAGAACAAATGATTGTGTCTGCACTGAAATGTATGCTCTTTCTTCGTTATTCCAACTTAGGTATGACTTGGCTTACAATTTCCCTTTACAGATTATCCACAGGATTTAATAGCACGACCGGCACCTTTATTGAATACCAAATCGACAGCGAGGAGTTGACAGAAAGTTGGACCAAGACGGCTGATCGTTATTTGCCTTGTTCCAAGTCCTCCAGCCCCCTTGCATACAATGAAGACGGCATGCCCCTGTTCCCCGCCATCGATACACGCTCGCTCAACCTCAATGAGATGATCCGAATCCTAGAAGATTATTTTATCCAAGTATGGGGTACGTGGCTGTCTGCGATCTAAGTCCATTGATGAGCTGATGAAACGTCTACACACTATAGCACACATTCATGGAGGAACGGCCATTCCATGGGATGACATTGGCAATGATCCCGAGAAGTTTTACGACATGCGGTGCTATGACCTACCCTGCCCATTGAAGCCACCTCCCGCTCTCAAAGATGACGAAGTTCTGCGCCTCACGAAGTTTTTAATCCGCCAATCAAGTGGAGATACCCCTTTCCTGTTCCATCCCAAGGTCGTATCTCATGAAGTCAAAATTCAAGCTACTAACAAGGTATCACCCATCGAATCTCCCAGTGGCACTTCTCCAGCAGTGCCAGCCACTCGAGAAGTGACACAACCTGTTACAGCTGGCATCATTTCCCCTACCTCTGCAGCTAAGGCAGCCTCTCTACCAGCTCCCACCATCACCACGCCCACTTTATCAGTGGATGCCGTCCCACCAGCTGCCACTGGAGCCCCTCTCTCAGGAAAGAAAGACACTGAGTTGTCAGTCAGGGCAGATGATGTAGTGAAATCCCCAGCAGCCGTCAATCCTCTTCCTCATGATTCCCCTTCCATGCTGGCGCCTCCCCCACCGGTTCAGCACCAGCAGACAAGTGCCACAGTGTCTGAGAAAGGAAAGAAATCCAAGAAGACGAAGAGCAACGCCAATGTCAAATCTCGTACTGCCGTATCCGCCAACACAAAAGCGACCACCAGCACTTCGACTCACAATATCACAGAAGCCGACAATTCAAACTCTCGGTCTGCCACAGATCCTAATAGTGGTAATCTCCGATGCGGCTCTCATAAGCGCAAGACCATAGATCATACCAGTCCGCAGCCGATTGTTGATCCTACATCTGCACCTCCACCAGGAAAGAAGCCAAAGTGAGTATTCTGGTGCGCTTTGTACATGTGAGACTCCATACTGAGTTAATTACTAGACCCTCTTGGGACTGGGTGCCAGTGGTGCCCCAGGACTAGGCTTCTTCGCAAGTGTGAATAAGTGCGTCCTCGCCTCCTCGGGTCTCAAGCCATCCTTGTGCGTTCTCTTGAATTAATCCTCTGTTATCGCTTAAACCAGGTCATCAGTTTAATTGCGCTGAATCTGTTTAATCCAATTAAACAGATTTTCTTGTTGCTCTTAGCCTTTCAGTGCATTTAAGTCGTTTAATCCAAGTTGACTGGTCATGTCATTTCGCCCCGAGCTTGCATTGCGGTTTAATTAGATTAATCCATTTAATCCGTCCCAAATTTTAATCCGCTTAATCTGTTTTCCTTGTTTAATTCGTTGAGTACTGGCATGTAAAGAGTAAATAATTGTTATAAATGTATTTTGACCTTTCAATGAGATTAATCGGATTAAGACACATTAATCCTATTGCCTTCCTCAAAGGCAAGGGATTAAGCTAAAGTGAGGGGGTTACGGGATACGCAGATTTGGCAAGCATATAGATAGATCCTCATGTGGGGGACTACCTCATCCTTCTCCCCTTAATAACTTTACACAGAATCCTCCCCTTTCCCTCGCAAGTACCTAGATCTGTTTCTATACATTTATTGTCATTTATCATGATTTTACATGGGCCAATATCTCCCATCCTGGATGTCAATGGAATATCTTAGCTTGTGTGAAATCGGTCAATAACCCAACTTCCAGGCAATATAAATTTATGATAAAATATGTTAAATTCATGAATAAATATACACTATTCATGTACAAACTTTCAGACTTTCAGAGGTACGTTTAGTGGGGTATCCAGAGTGGGTCTCCTGGTGTATCTATACCCCCCTCAGATATACTACACCCAGACACCCCCTGGCATTATCAATGGTACTATTACTCTCAGACATGTAATCCATGATTTTTGGCCAAGTGAAATGGCCCTAAATGTGCCCGAGGATGCATGGGTGCACCATGCATTATAGTAGCCAAAATCGTGTTCGTCATATCTCAATGAGTTCTCACCCGTTTCACATGATCAAAGGGTCTACAGGAAGGTATCAATGTACCCAACATCTCGCTCAGCCAAAGCTAAACGAAATAATGCGAGGGGGAGCCGGAATTATGCACGGATGTGCACCCATCACAATATTGCCAAATTTGGCAAAGCGCATCAAACCCCGCCGCACACACTATTCCTGGCTGTGTGGCGCACCCCATAATTCATAATAAATACTCAAAATATTCATGAAGCACCCGGATACAAAGGTCTGAGTTTCACAACAAAATATTAAGTTTTCAATTTGATATTCAATTGTTTTGTATTAAAAATGCAAAAGACTCTGGATTTTTCGCGTTTTTGGCTCCCCCAGCCCATCCCACACCCCGTGGGGGCCATGACAATTATTAGCATGCATATCTAGCCCCGCCCAACCCATTTTTAGGCCCCCACTGCACCCAGAACCCACCCCGCCATCCCACTAGCCCCTATCATGCATCCCCCACCATCCCTGCCTGTTTCAGACGGATTT